GATACGTCGAGTTGAATACACTGGAGTCGCTTTTTACGCGGTTTTTTTTTACACGGTTTTTTTTTACGCGGTTTTTTTTTACGCGGATTTCGGAATTTACGCGGTTTTTTTTTACGCGGATTCCGGAATTTACGCGGTTTTTTTTTACGCGGATTTTGGTTTTTTTTTACGCGGATTTCAGAATTTACGCGGTATATCGCTTTTTACGCGGTTTTTTCTTACACGGTTTTTTTTTTACTCGGTTTTTTTTTACGCGGATTTCGGAATTTACGCGGTTTTTTTTTTACGCGGATTCCGGAATTTACGCGGTTTTTTTTTACGCGGTTTTTTTTTACGCGGGACATATCACCCGCGTAAAAAGCGACTCCAGTGTAGTTCATTTTTAGTGAACACTGCCCAGCTCTCCTGTAAAATTTTCGTCAGTGCATAAACTCAAATTCATCGGTGCACTCGTCCATATCTGAGAATAAATTCTCGTGTCATATTTCAAATAGTTCAATCTACATTGATTGTTTTTCTTCATTGACTCTCTTTTTCGTTAATAACTTGACTGTATTCCTATTTCGGGCTAATTTTTCTACATATTCTGTTAAAAGAAAGTATTATTAAGCATATTTGACAATAAGAACAACTCTTAGAGCCAAGTTATCAACAAAAGAGAGAGTCGATGAAGAGAATCGATCAATAGACGAGTGCACGGATGGATTTGAGTTCACTCACTCTAGTGAAAGTGGCACAAGCCACACAAAATTAGATTTAAGCCATATAGTTGTAAAATACAGAATTTCTATTGCAGCTATATTTGTATTAAAACTTAGACTCCATAAGCCACTATAGGAACACATTGTACTAACGTACCTCCTCTATAGGTCGTTTACCCAAACACGTCTCCGGCTGTGTTTATCTTTTAAGACACCAGATAACACGTTTCGGCAGCGTTTCGGCGATCAAAGATGAATCATAACTGGCTGTGATTTGAAATGGGATAAGATAGTCAATATTGAATTAGGTGGTACGGCATATGATTTTCAAAGACTCAAACTAAGAAAGAGTTGAGGCCTAGGTTGAGGCATTTTAGGAGGTCCTGTCAATATGTATTCGATCGCATAATGGAACTGTTATTGTCTGTGGTACCATTTAAATTTCTACGAAATTTTACTCATCCACAACTGAAACGATTCCTGGAAAAAGGAAATTCGTTTTATGGTAACGATTGAGTTTTGCTCAATCTTGAGCTCTTATCAGTTTATTCAGCGTAGAACATGTGAGAAATGTGACCCATAGTAGAGGACAATCACGCTTTGCATGGCAAAACAAAACTCTCTTCACGTATGTCTGTCTACATCAGTCTTCGTTCGACGGTCGACGAGAAGGGCCCACTGCGTTTCGCTATCAATCGTACCCGGTTGCTTAGCTTATTTCGCTTAAGGCCCAAGCGCAATGACAGCGGAAGCGGAACGGCTACGGCAGCGGAAAAGCCCGATCTGAGTAAGCCAACTTGTCGGATTGAAAACTTGTTGGAACCAAATCGACTTCGGTTAGGCACCTTGATGTCATTTGTGACAACTGTCAAACTTTCCGTTTCCGTTCCGCTTCCGTGCACATTGCGTTTGGGCCTTTAATCAATTTAATAAAACAGTTGGCGGCGACATCCAATTAGTGTGAACAATGTCGTGCAGGAAAGCGCTCGGGATGTTCTGGTGGCGGGTAGGTCGTAAAAGTGGTTCGTATCGTATCGCATATGATCATTGAAGGCTCTTTTAGCAATCGCATCGTAACTGTCACGAAACATTTTTCTGTATGGTCAATGTAAATGACCAATCACACACGATTCTCCGTTGTGATGTATTACTTTGGCGTTTGCTAGATGTTGATGAATATATCGTTCATACCTAATTTACAGTATTATCAACAGACAAACAGACGTAACTTTTTAAATAAATTCTCCTTAAATATATCGTCGGGACCTCCCTTAGCTCAGTTGGCAAAGGCGCAGCTACAAAGCAAAACCATGCTGAAGATGGCTGGGTTCAATTCCCGGTCCAGTCTAGGAATTTTTTGTGTTGAAAATATCCTCGACTTCCCTGGGCATAGAGTATGATTGTACTTGCCACACAATTATGCTAATGCGAGAATGGTACAGGCACCGAAAGCTCTCAGCTAATAACTATGAAAGTACATCTATAACACTAAGTTGAGAGCACGCAATAACCTAATATTTGAAGAAGTAATCATATCGTCACGGAACTCACTAACGAGATCTTGCGAGCTCGAAAAAAGCTTCATCCCTTCCGGTTCTAGAATGTATAGAAACGTCAAAGTGATCCGATGCCAGCGCTGTGGTGGTAAATTCGTGCAACTAATAATATTCCAATAGACTTCTCTGATGTTTGTGAAATGCACAAGTATTAGTGCAGAACTCGGGGTAAATTATAAGTATTAGTGCAAGAAACCTTTGAATTTACCCAAAGTACTGCACTAATACTTGTGCAATTCACAAACGTCAGAACGAATATCTCAGGAGAAAAGGTGGTCCGATCTAGAGTCGGTGTATAATGAGTCACGCCAAGAGAAAAACAGTTGAACTCGCAACACGGTTTTCGAAAGACTTCTACAACAACTTCAAATGACTTCTAGCGAGAGAAAAAATATTGCAGCTGTAGTAAATCATTATATCAGTGATTTTGTCAAATTATCTTAACAAAAAATAGTAGAAATTCTCATTACAAATCATTACCGAGCGTATCCCATGACAATTTAACGCTCACTGCGTGTTTATGCTCATTTCTTCGATTATATTTTATTGCAATACCTAGCCGGTTTGACAGTTCAATAGGTAGACTTGGCTTCACTCTTGGCGTGACTCATACACCGACTCTAGTCCGATCGTGGTACAATGAAATCAAGGACTACCGTTTTGGACAGGCCAATCCCAGCAACTTCAGTCAGGTGGGCCATTTCACTCAGGTGGTTTGGAAGAGTTCAACAAAGCTGGGAGTGGGAATCGCTAAGAATGGGTGAGTTGCGGAAATTTTGACCCATACGTTGAAGTTCATTGGTTTATGTGTACAATTTTCAGAACTAATGTGTACGTCGTGTGCAACTACGGTCCCCCAGGAAACGTCAGTGGACAATACCCGGCTAATGTTACTCGCAGCTAACTGTTCACTTGACAGTTTGTGACATGGTTAGTTTTAAACCGTAGATTTTCAATACAGTCGTCAATGGACGAGTGCACCGATGAATTTGAATTCATGCACTGACAAAAATTTGACAGAAGAGCGGGGTAATGTTTACTAAAAATGAACACTAAATGTTCATTATTCATGAACATTGCCCCGCGCTTTTGTCAAATTTCTATCAGTGCATGAACTCAAATCCATCGAGGCAGTCTAGAAATACTCAGAGGGAGAGATAGGCGGAGAAAACAAAATACAATTTGGCAGCAAGGATTTGTACCTAAATTATCTTGCAACCCTTGCTAGAAGCCAGCATTTCACATGACTTTTATTTTTGATTCGATTTACGTGCAAAATAATAATTAATTGCATCGCAATATTTTGCACATTTCTTGGTGCCATTAATTAACCAACTAAGATCAATTAATCAATAGAGTTAGAATATTGTTTTCGATTCCAAAAACTAGTTGAATTTGAGAAGCACACGAAACATAAAGGTGATTGAATTTCTGTTCGATTGCAATACTCTTAAATTTAATGTAATAATAATGAGAAATCCTCGGACAAAATCTAATAGGAATGTTCGATTGGCTCAGATTTTGGCTCAAAACATTCTCTCCGCCCATCTCTCCCTCTGAGTATTTCTAGCACAGTCGTCTATTAGGTACTGCAACGTGACGTCACAAATGAACACAAATGGCTACTACAGTATTTTACATATGATCGTCCATACACGGAGAAAAAATACTACCCAAAATTTGAGTTCTTTTTACTTAATATTGACTTCAGCCTCTCACTTGCACTCGTTATTGTTGTCAAAAAAGGAACAAGAGATTCGACCCAACGATATAGTTCAGCCCAATAAGTTACTCTTGAGTAAAATGCATATTCTCAAATTTACGTGAATTAAACTTAATTTTGGGTAGAATATACTTAAGAGTAGGTATTTTTTTTTGCTGATGTTAAATGGAAACTACTATATGCGATTTACTCAAATTTGGGTTATTGGGCTGAACCCCGGAATTGAGGGAAAAGTACTTAATTTTGAGTAGTTTTTCATCTCCGTGTATACAGTAGCGCCCAAAGCATGCTGTGGTGGGTTTAAAACTTGAGCATCTTGATCACTTTCAATTGGCGTTGACGGCGACTCTGGTAGCGTTTTACTCCTACGGTCAAATCCATAAGCAAACGTCAGACTGTGCGTGAAATATCTCGGCTATCGTACACTTATAAAATTCCACACATTTTTATTGACGAATTTCCATGTGAAATTTCACATGATTTTCATGTGACCACACATAAACAGAATCCACCCAGAAGCACACATGAAATTTATGAGTCAAATTAATAGTATGTGTGGTTACACATGGCTTTTATGTGTACACATATTAAGTATGTGTCCGACACATAGATATCATTTGTTGATCACATTGCAAAAATTGATGTGTGGGACACATAAAAACAATCTTTGAAATTTTACCAGTGTACTATCCTTTCACTCCACTGAAAAGTTCCATACGAAACTTTCAATATTTGGTAGAAGAGGCGACTTTTTGACGGTGCCGTCAACGCCAATGTCTCCAGGTTTGTTTTTGATTTTCATGATCACGGGATCCAACCAGTTTGTACCATAGGCAGCTTTTTACCAACCGTCGGTCGCTGGAGACAACCCGTTGTAGCTGTTTTGACTGCCGTATCGACAAGACCCTCTCGACCGGCCATGGTGTGGAAGAAGAAGAGCACCTTTCTTTTCCTTTATTTAACGTCGGTCTCTGTTCCACAATCTAGTGCCATTCAGCGACGGACATCGATTTCCATCCATTGACGGCAAGCGAATATGCAGGAAGGCAGCTTCCACACCTGCGTAGGATATCGTACCCATTCAACACACATGGTGTTCGGAGTACCTCGCGTATAAATTTGTATGTTCTATACCTATATATGTTCCTATATATATACATATAACATATATTAAAAATAACCATCCTTGTAACTGTTAAATGAACAACTAGCTGCAAGCAACATTAGCCAGGTACTGTCCGCCGTAGTTTCCTGGAGGATCGTAGTTGCATACGACGTACAAATTTTTCCTGAAAATAACCCACATAAAACAAAACGTCTGAACGAAAATGTACACAACTCACCCATTCCTAGCGATGCCCACTCCCAGCTGTGTTGAACTCTTCCACACCACCTGAGTGAAATGGCCCACCTGACAGAAGTTGCAAGGATTGGCCTGTTCAAAACGGTAGTCCTTGATTTCGTTGTACCATGCTCGGACCACCTCTTCTCCTGAGACATCAATTTTGCCGCAGCAAGCGTAAATATTTTCACCGTAACGATTGTTCGGCCGATGTTGCATACAATTCCGACTGGCTATGTGCTGAGAAAAAAATATATCACAAGACAGGAATTACTCATCAACGGCATCGATACAAGTATTTCGACACAGAAGTGCCATCCTTATCTTCGTTTCACATCAAAGCCGTGCATGAAGTAGACATTCTTCAACGTCAGGTGTTCAGTTACCAAAAAAGAGAATCTATTGTGATAGGTTACTTACATTGGCCCATTCCTGCGCGCATTGACTAATGGTTGAATTGAGCGTTAGCGGGTCGGCCGAGTGCTGGGCACGTAGTCGATTGTGTTCGACCAACACGGCAGCATCGAAGGACAACAAACTGTTTTCACATGGATGTACCATGTTAAACAATTTTATCAATAACTGTCTGTTTTTGCTGCTGGGGAACCTGCACCCATCCGGATCCGGGAGATTGTGGCGTAATAGTTACGATGCGCTGACTGAAAGAGCATTCAACAGTCAAAGGGGAAATGGTTCATCTATAAAAATCTCCCGTTTTTTAATTTTTCTTAGAACATTGCGTCGCCTGCAGCTGAGTTCCGGGGATACGTTGAATCAAATCTGTTCGATGAAATGCATGCCCATAATTCAGCTGCTAGACAATACAAATGGATATTTTTGGTTGGTAATGAAAAACTGGCAAAAAATGCTTTACTTCGAAATGTATGTATGGGCCCAACATTGTGGACAAATAAGCCGAAATTACGAACATTAACCCTATGTAAGATAATTTTAATTCACTTTTACGACCTACCTAATTGGTCGTCTCAGTAGACTGTTGTTGCAAATGTTGTTATTATTATGATTGAATTGATTGCGTTTAATGAACCAAGCAACCGGACAATGCAATGCGCGAGCTGCGAACTGTGCGATTGACAGCGAAACGCAGTAAGTCGGCACGGCGACCGTCGAACGAAGACTGAAGTGGTCAGGCATACGTGAAGAGATATTTTATTTTACCGTCCAGAGCGAAAGTGTCTTCTACTGGGTTGAAAAAGCATAATTTGATTTGATAAGACCCAATAAGACTGGTAAAAATCACTCCATATTTACAGGGGGAAATGAGCACCAGGATGGTTTATAAAAATAAACATCAATCGGTAGGCTCTTAGAACGGATCGCAAAGATAACCGATTCAACGAAGAATCGTAATAAAATCACCTAGCTGCCACAGAACAGAAATGGATCATAAAATCTAGAAAATGAGGCATTTTCATTGGCGAGCACTAACGCACCTAGCGGTAGAAAATACCGCTTTTCCCAAGGGGTGTTCAAAACTCTGCACATCTCAATCTGTGCCGAATACTTTATCTGTGCCAAAAACTGTGCCAAGCGTTGTGCCTAACGTGCCGGAGTGTGGGAATAAAGGTTTCAATCTCAGTATTACATGAGTTTGGCAACCCTGCAGTTTTGACTTTTGAGACCGTTTATTTACAACTTTCATGGACGGTTCATTGAAAAACGAAGAAAAATATTCGATCACAGCAGAAAATACAGCAAAGATTACGAGGTCAATTACCACCACGCAAGCATCATCACAAGCATAGATTCTGATTTTTGATTAATCTCGGAAAAGGCAGAAGCAGAAAAATTATCATTCGGCTCCGGTAAAAAAACACGAATGAAGATGCCACTTATTTCGAGTGTACCCCATTAGGCATAAATACGTTAGGCATACGGACGTTTGGCATACGGACGATAGGCATAATGGACGTTAGGCATAAAGTCATTAGGCATAATATACGTTAGGCATAATGGACGTTAGGCATAAAATACCTTGCTGCTGTGCAACTCTAGAAACCTGTTTCGAGCATGATAAACAATGCTTAAATTAGGCTAAGCGTTGAATAAAAACTGATACATGTTAAACAAACATAGTTTATTTAATAAGCACAGTTTGGAATCCATTATTTATCATATAGTAAGTGACGTAGCTACATATTTACTTAGATCCAAGATTAGTAGCGATAGCGGTTAGGTAATCTGGCAATGAAAACTCAGTATAGTTTTGAACTATATCTTGAAATCAATCGCATCTAGAAATAAATAAATCACACATTTGTTGTAATATATTCTTACACACATATTGCAATTGTCAAAGAAGAACAGGTTTTCCTCAAAGAACAGCTCATGAAATAAAGAATGGTGAATTCTGTGATTTTTCATTCAATAACAAAAAACCAGCTAAGGTTGAGTAAAATATGATGCCGAAGAACAGCTCATGAAATGAAGAATGGTGAATTTTGTGGTTTTTCATTCAATAACAAAAATCATACCTGCTGCTTCCAGGATTTCCTGCCATACTTTTCGATACAACGATTCTGTTTTTGTTGTCATCAGAATGAAAACTAGCGAAACCGTCTGCTGATATGAGGGAGCGATACTTCCATGAACAGTGACGAGCTGCCGAAACAAACAAGGAACTGTGGCAAACGTGCCATCTGCAATCCATTACTTTGCCTGTCGCAAGTTTTCATGAGTTCCAAAAATTAAGGCTCTTTTATTTTCACCGAAGTCAGCAATCAATAGACGGTCCCCATTATCATCCTTCTGGAATTCATCGGGTAGATTATGCCTAGCGTCCATTATGCCTAACGTCCTTTATGCTCAACGTCCATTATGCCTATCGCACATTATGCCTAACGTCCGTATGCCTAACGTCCGTATGCCTAACGACCGTATGCCTAACGTCGTGTACCCACTTATTTCAAGATTTTTAGGCTATTAATACGGCCTTCAGAACTGAACTAAACCAAGCTAGAGAGTGCGAACCCAAATCAAGTCATTTAAGAAAAAAAATCAACACTGGGAGGACACCTTTTTATACTATTAATATGCTAAAAACTGTAAATATTAGAAACATAACAATACGTGTGGGATGCATGCGTTACATAGTACAGTGTAAATCGAACAGGCATATCACTTCCCCCTACAGGAACTCGAGCTCGGGGCTGCTTAGCATTCAAAGCATCGATGAACCGACATGCCACAAGAGCATTTCGTTTGTCCACAATTCGAATTGTCAAACGACCGATTCAAACTTTCAAACGGGCGATCAGATTTGTCAAACGAGGTGAGACGCAAACCAAGGCAATATAAATTATACGTGGGCTCGTGTCCTTGCTTATGTATGACGTGATCGGATCAGTAGATGTCGGTAGTGTTTAACGTATTTTAAATATGGTGTCTCGGGCACGAATTTGAAAGTAGTTTGTGTGAGCTGGCTCGTCGGTTCGTCGGTGTTCAAAGTCCCATACAGTTCATGGAGAGGATCCACACCTTCAGCTGCTGATCGATGTAATTAGTGGTCAGCCATACGTCGCATATCCTGAGCAATTTTACCTATCAAGTCTTCTCGTTAGGTGTTTCAGGGACTGCAGGCAAAATTTCATACTCTAGCTCCAACTGTTTCCAAAAAGTGCGCCTAAAAGTATAGTTTGTATATTATATTTCGTATATTTTTTTTTAAATTTAGAAGCACTTTTGACCTCATCCCATGCTTCTTTCAATTTAGATTCTAATAAAAATCACTGTCTCCAGTATTGACTAGAGATGGGCAAAATAGATCACTAAGGTAAACGGGACAGAACCGGTTCATCCATATAGATGATCCGGATCTTTACAATGGTTCATCAGATCACGTAACCATCGTTAAATTTGGACTTCTGTAAAGGATTTTTCTTTACAAAATTTGCCACAAAACATTTGCATGTTGCAATGCAAATGTTGTTGCGGATGTAAATGTTCATGCAAATGGAAATATTATTTACAGATTCGGTATTCCTGATCTGACTGCGTAGAATTAATTGAATGATTATTCATTCTAAATCCTTACTATTTCCGAACTGATAACAGAGCGAAAGGCATATGATCCGATTCCTATAAACAATTAGCTGTAGATTATTCACTCTCACTCTCACTCTCACTAGTATTGACCTGTATTGACGGATTTTTTTTTCACTTGGAAGTAAACAAACCTTAGCAAGTTGCCGTTTTATATAATATTGTTCGTGACATATCAACGTGTTCCTTAACGTGCCGAACAGTATACCATGCTGTGTTTCGGCACAGTGTGCATAGTTGATTACCCCTTGGCTTTTGCCTAATGTCCTCTAAGTATGGACGTCTGTCAAAATTTGTTCCAATCGAACCGTCAAAATGCACTGCTTTGTTCGATTAGAACAACTTCTTTCAGTTTTGTGGTGCACTCAACAAGAATACTTAACTAAGATTGAATAACATTTAATCAACTTTATTCATAAATATATAAAAAGTCTTAATATCAGATCTTGACAGTCACTGTTATTTGCAGGATGTTTTCCGATTAAGCGTGGCAAAAAGACGTACAATCACACCAACAACCACCAGCTGGGCAGCGCGCGAACGAAGAATCGAGATTGCCGGAACGGAAGCATCCTCGGTTAAATGAACCGCAATGCTGGGAACCATCGACTGGAAGACGCAATCATCGACAGGCAGGCAAATGGGATCAAGCCAAAGGATCAGCAACCTCCGTTGAAATAACTTTGCCTAACAAACACTGACTGTGCAGTAGAAGAAGGCCATTAATTTCGGTGAGGTTCAGTTTTCGGAAGACAGGGCTGGACGAGAGAAAAGTCATCTCGGAGTAAGTCGGACTTAGGTACTCTAGTTGTGGAAATATATACTACATATTAGCTTTTGCAATTTTCAGTTCACCTCAACAGCTCCCATCTCGATATCGCCGGGTAAAGCAGGTGCATAAGAACGCCTATCAATGGTTGTTGGGTTCTGCCCTGACCGGCGATTTGCGACCTCTGTGCACCTGAACTCCGATTCTTACCTCCACGCGGTGCCCGGTGGGGTTGCTGACGGTGATATTTGCCGTCAGTAATGCGAACAAGAACGGGGGATCATCGTTGTCACCAATGCACTATTGTCAATAAATTGGTAGTGCCCGTGATGATGATGACAGAGCAAAAAAGGTTATAGCCAACTCTAAGTAGCCTGTGATTATCGCTACCTGGGGATGCTAACCGGCTGGGTCTGGTTACGACTTGGCCGTCCTGAATGAACTTTTTCCACCTCCTCAAGGTGGTTCGTTTAAAAGGACGTTAATAAATGGAAGCACAGCATCTCGATATCAATCGACGTTTGACGACGCCAATCCCGCTGACATCACCCCTCGGAAAACAGTTCCCTCTTGCGTGAGGAAGTCCGGTGAAAAAGATCACGTCGGATTCCATGACAACGCTGCAAATGTATACCAAAACGAAAAGAAAGAAATCGCCTGCCTGATCCAGGAATGCAGAAAACGGAACATGGACTGTGTGTGGTACCGTATGCGTGATAATGTTTGCACCATTAAGCAATGTCAAAATTAAAAAACCCGAATTTATCCACCTATGGTGTGATCAGACCCTTCTTACTTATTCAAGTTTATTTATTTTATTGTCATTATCAGGGGGTACCCGGAATATATCCGGGTGTAGTCTATTTGGTGAGGCTACCAATCACCTTATCATCGTATTTTTATGTGATTTAAAGGGTTTTAATTCAATTCATATT